CTATAAAAACACAAAAAAAAAATCATCTCAAGGGAGAGAAAAACAGAACCACAATATTGAGGGTGGTGAGATCGAGTTTATAGTACAAGTGTGATCGAAGAACTACGGTGTCGAGGATTTTTGGAGGCGAGTGTGCGAAATCGGCGGAGGATCAAGTGTAGCGGCTACCTTGGTGTAATCCTAATTCATGAGTTTCTCCCTACTTTAATCTTTGATTATCTAGTTTGTTAGATTAAGCTTATTCTATTATACTTGTTAATTGGATGAAATTTTGCCTTTGATTTTTCATGATTTTGGTCTCACTATTAAACGCTGAGTTTATTGGTACTTTAATATTGAGTTTGGTATTTATTCAATTCATATGATCGTTTGTTCAATTTGAAGGTTTAATCTTTGTATGTGTGATAGTATACGATTACCTTTATAAAGTAATTAAACTAGCTAGTTATTGTTAGACGCGGCGTTTGATGGTAATTTAGAGTATACGACTTAATTTAATTAGTATGAGCGGCTCATGATAATTGTTTTAAGTATATGAATTGATCGATAAAAGTTATTTATTGGGTTGGTAATATTTTAGCAAGATTCTAGTAGTTCTAGTGAGCAAAATAGTGGATAATCCTCTGCGGGAATCCGGCAACCTAAGTGCTAAACAGAATATTGAATGAGACTAAAGGAATGGAAGTAAGAGGTTAGTTTTTGTCTAATTTATCAATGATCAAACCTCAACTATGTTGGTTACTTGTTTGTCACTTGTAAATATTAGACTTATTTTAGTTTAGTTCTCTTCTTTATGGTTTATGATCCTTTAAACCCCCCAATCTCATGTACATAGTGATGAATAATACTCTATATTGTAAATAGTTCATTTTTCGAGTTAAACTTTAAGTTTTAAGAGTTTATTAATCTCCTCGTGGGATCGACCCGCACTTACCCTTTTACTAGTTTTTAATATTTTTGAAGGTTAAGTTAGGTAAATAATTAATTAATTTTATACGGTAAACGACACGTATCATAAAGCTTTGATCTTTATTGTTTAGTAACATTCTAGGATTTGTTATTAATCCGTTTAATATCATGTCTAGGATCTTGCTAATTATATTTTGATTATGATGATGATTTGTTGTGTCAATTAATGTTGCTTGATTATTCAAGATGTATTGTTATTGCTTGATCACGCCCTTTCTTGCAGGTTTAAAGGGAATTTTTACTTGAAATCACCCCTAATAAGATTATTAATAATTTTATTTTAGGCTTAATATGATTTTAATTCAAGTGATCGCCAATAATAGATTTATATGTGCATTAATAATCAACCAACGTAGATTAAACAAATTTAGGGTTAACTTGTTGTATGTATGTTGATCGGAAAGCGTACATGAATATCATAAGAATTAAATAGAGGCTGATTTAGGGCGGGTTTAATCTCTTTTAGGTTGGATTCGTACCATCATCCCCGAATATCCATTCATAGTTCCGGACCACTATGGAGTTAGCGATCTTCGTGATCGTGAATGGGGTGTAACCTTCACACCCGTGAACAGTTTACAAGTTCCTAAAACTTGTTGGCGACTCTTTTATCTCTAGCTTCTTTCCCTTTGGACGCCACCATGCTTAAATGCATGATCACAGTAGGGCTCAAAGTTGATGTTTGAAATATTCCCTACAAAAACAAATGACATTTATCTGATGATCTCGAGATGAATCTATTTAATGCAGTTACTCTACCTGTCAATTTCTGAACTTCTTTAATATTTCGAGGCGATTGAAGGTTAATAATAGCACGTACCTGGTCTGGGCTGGCCTCGATTCCTCTTTAAGTTACTACATAGCCTAAGAACTTACCTGCAGATACTCCAAATAAGCACTTGGATGGATTTAGCTTCATCTCGTATTTCCTCAGCACGCCAAAAGCCTTGTTCAGGTGACCTACATGGTCAGCTGCTTTCTTTGATTTCACCAACATATCGTCAATGTAGGCTTACATGGAGTCCCTCAGCTGGTCCTTGAACATCTTGTTGACTATTCTTTGATAGGTAGAACCAGCATTCTTCAACCCGGACGACATCACCTTATAGCAGTAGATTCCTTTATTTGTCATGTAGGTGGTCTTCTCTTGATCATTTGGATGCACTAGGATCTGGCTGTAACCTGAGTACAGATCCATGAATGTGAGTAGCTCGTGTCCCGCTGTGGCATCTACCATTGAATCTATATTAGGCAAGGGGAACGGGTCCTTGGGGCATGCTTTATTCAGATCTGTGAAGTCGATGCAGACTCTCCAGGTTCCATTCTTTTTGCTGACGAACACCACATTAGCTAGCCAATCTGGATACTTGACTTCCCTTATCTTTCCGGTATCTAGCAGCTTCTGCACTTCTTCATTTATAATCTGGTTACGTTCTGGTGCAAATTTCCTTCTATTTTGCTTCACCGACTTTATGCTGGGATCTACATTGAGCTTGTGAGTAATGACTTCTAGGCTGATTCCTTTCATGTCTTAATGAGACCAGGCTAAATAATCTAAATTCTCCTTCAAGCACTTTATGATGGCTTCTTTCTGATCTGCAGGTAATGTTGCTCCGATCTTGACTATCTGATCCGGCTTCGATTCATCCAGCACCACTTCATCTAATTGCAACTCATCTGGACGTTCAGGTGTTGGATTCTGCTGTAATTGCTAGATTGAGGGCCCATGGGGCTTCATGGCGATCTGGTAGCATTCTCTGGGTTGTTTTTTATCTCCTTCAACTACTGCTACCCCCCCCCCCCCTCGGACTTGGAAATTTCAACAGCTGATGATAGGTTGATGGGATAGCTTCATTTTATAGATCCACGAGGTCCCCGCTATCACATTATAGGCTATCTTGCAATCTATCACATAGAACTTATGCATCATATTAATGCCCTTCAGCAAGGTTGGCAACTAGATTTCTCCTAGGGTGTTCATGGCTTCACCATTGAACCCGACGAGGACTATAAACCTCTTGATGATATCTGACTCTCTAAACCCGGCTTGATTTAAGACATCTCTGAATATTATATTAGCCGAGCTTCCATCATCTACCAGCACCCTTTTCATTAAGCAATGATCAACATGGAGAGAGATAACCAGACAATCATGATGCTCTGGCCCATTGAATCTGCTTTCATCAAATACTATTTTCATTTCATCTAACACTTTTTCTTCTCTGCTTGGATAGGTTTGAGTGATGCTGGAAGCTGATGTACCGACCCTTGCTATCTTTTTTGCATTGGAATAGGTCATTCCGCTTATGCTAGATCCTCCTGCTATAGCACTGATCATGACGCTGGGTGGAGGCAAAGCTGGCGAACCTAACAGGGCTTCTCTTTTGATTTCGGGCCCCTTTCCTTTCTTGCCTAGGAAATTTTTCAGGTAACCCTTTTTTAGCAACCAGGCTACCTCTCTTTTCAGACCATTACATTCATCAGTTATATGCCCATGATCTCTATGGTACTCACACCACCTGGATTTATCTTTTTTGGTGGTCCGGCTTATCACACTTTCTAGGCCACCTCACAGGTTGCCCAATTTCCTTCAAAGCATTGACTATTCCGACTATATCGATATCGAAATCGTACGAATGGATGTCCGAATGATCTTCTGGTTTCGACCTACTGGAGCCTTCACCCACTTTTGAATCTGACACACTACTTACATTGCTACTCCTTGGATTATCACACCAGTTATTCTACCTGGGTCTAGAATATTGATTCTCGGAATACCCAACTGGCCTTTTCTCAACCAGGCCTCTAGCCTGCTCGTCCTCTTCTACACGACTTCAGCCATTGTCCTGGTTCTGACTTCTTCAAAAGAGGGACAAGGATATTTGGTCAACTCATAATATAACCTAGAATGGTAATTGAGACCTCTGCGGAATGCTTCTATGGCAGTTGAATGATCCCGGTTCTTGATGTTGACCATCTCTCTATTAAACCTGTCCTAATATTTCCTGGTCGTCTCATTCTACTTCTAGATGACTCAGTACAGGTCACTACTCTGCTTCTCCAAATCTCTGCTGGTTGCGAACTGCTGATAGAACTTATTCACCAAGCTAGAGAAGCTGCTGATAGATCCGGGCTTCAGATTAATCAGCCACTGGAGTGCAGGTCCCGACAATGTGGCGCCAAAGGACTTGCACATGGTGGGTTCAATAAGCTCCCACGGAATTAATAGTTGCCACATCTTTTGCTTGTACTGAGCCACATGATCTTGAGGGTCAGTGGTTCCATCGTACAACTTAGAGAAAGATGGAATGTTTAGCTTTGTGGGAATTCTGACTTTGGCGATCTCTTCCACGAAGGGGGATTTAGCAAATCCATCACGAGACTCATAGGCTATAGGTTTTGGCGCACCTGGTAGCCGGGTCAAGAGCTTCATCATTTTCCGATTCTGGGCTTCAATAATAGCCACTTTTTTGGCCATGGGTTCAGGGTTTTCATCGAACTCCCTTTCGGGTTTTTTGGGATCGTCATCTTCCCCTTCAAATTCATCGGATGAAATTAGGGAGAACTGAGGAATATCATTGGTTTTGAACCTTCTTTTCTTGTTTCTCTTGACAGATTCAAGCTCCAAGGATGCTTGATGAGATTGAGATTCATTTTGGAGCTTCAAATTCTGTTCCCGGGCAGCTCTTAACTCTTCTCGGGTTTCCTGCAACTGCTCAGCGATTTCGGCCATAGTAGGATTTTGACTGGGACTTCCAGCCATGATGATTGACAGATCAAATGAGATGAATAAAATGATCTAACTGCCTCCCCACAGACGGCGCCAAACTGTTTAGGTCAAAATCTATTTGACAAATAAGATCAGACTTTATAAGATAACAACTAGATTAACGAGGGTGCAAATGACAATGCAGGTTCTAGAAATCGAGATGAAAGATATGCAAAGAATGAGCAAAAGAGAAGGGGGAGAAGACGCGAAATGATGATGCAAAAAACCCAAGGAATAAGGGTAAAAACTGCAGGTGGTAACTAGTCCACCTATCCACTAGATTGATAGGTTGATACAAATACACTTTAAGTTTATAATTGAATTGTAACGATGCTAGGAATTGCTAATTGTTATAAATAGTAAGGCTAGAATATTTGTGATGCCTTTGTACAAAGATTATCTCTCTATTTATAATTAAAGAATCATCTTGAAAGGCTTCAATGGCTCCATTCCGGATTCCGTGGAATCCGGAGCTAGTGGGTTGAGGTAATTCCTACTTCCTCGCCATTCCCCTCGAGCACTTCTCCGTTGAGGTTTGAACTGGTCTTTATCATCGACAAGATGAGGTTCATGGTTCCGACTCTTTTGGCACCTTCTCTTGACTTGTTCAACTAAGATACCCTTGAAATATTCCTTGGAAGAATCTTCATTTGACTTCATTTAATCACCTGAAAGTGGGTAGCTGATTTTGTGATAAGCTGTTACCTAACAACCTGCGAAAAAGTGAACTTGTGATGAAAATTTGGGCATAACAAATATGTTAATTGCTAATAGTTTAGAATTGGGATGCAGATTAAAATAACGAATTTGACTGCACAGCCGAATTACCTGATTTTCCTTGTCATTTCGTGGGCTTTTAAACTGTCAAGTGGCATATCTCCGTAATTAACCTAAAAAAAAGGGCATTCTTGTCGTCTCAAATTAATAACTTTGATTTAGCAGTAATGGCAGACCACTCGCCAAGTGTGAGTATTTTGAAAAAAAAAAATAAAATTATCTAATTAATTTTTATTTTGAGGACAGAATTAAATTAATTCAGAATTTTTAATTTCTTCTACAATTAGTGTTTTTTATTTTTTTAATATTAATACTTTGGTAATAACACAAAGTTGTCAGCATGATCCATTTTATTTACGCTAATTACATTTATATTAATAATAAAATAAATGTTCCCTCAAAAAAAAAAAAAAAAAATGTTTTTTATTTATTTGTTGTCCTTTTGAAAGGTTTAAATTTGGGTGGATACTTTTGTTTTTCAAATATAATTAGCGGATTCTCCTCATAAAATCACCTTTATTTTCCTTTCTGCTATATTTGGGATTTGCAATTTTTATCGTGAAATGCAATGAAATGAATGCTTAAGGTTCTGAATCTGATGGTGTTGGGATCACGTTCATCAAACAATTCCAAACAAATTGGGTAAGAGAATCATGCAATTTTATTCTTTTTCGTATGGCTAGATCACATTATGTTTTTGTATTAGGCTTGAAATATTTTGTTTTGGTTTTTTATTCCCACATGCATGCATATGGTTGTTTTTTGAGGTAGTTTAATGTATGTATAATTTGAAATGTAATTGGTTCGGCGGAATTTCATTGTGTTTGGTCTCGATTTCAAATCTCATCCACCTCTACCTTTTCCCCTTTTCATCCCATAGGCACTCTCTTGAGATAGGGTTTTGTGATGCCCAACGTGCACCTTAGAATAAAAAACTTCGTACCCCGTATGTTGTTCATATAGGCGATATAGGCCCTTTATGACAGTAAGACAAGGCTTAATTTTGACTAGAAATTACTTTTTTTCCTCCATATTAAACTTATTTTTCTTTGTTAATAGGGTAGTATTGGTGATCCCAAATCTATGAATATTGTTCAATATATTTGTTGATGTATGAGGGACTAGTAGATTTTAACTTTGAGATCAGATTTGTGAATAGTGTAAAATCCCAACACCACATCCGAGAAGTCACCTTTCTTGTCAAAGCCCCTACAAAATCGGCAAAAATACATAAATGCCACCATGATATGACTTTGATTGAGGCCTTGTTGCACAAATCAATCAATTTGTGAATCAAATAGATAATATATACAGTAATTCTTTTGTTTCATTCACATTCTATGATTAGTAGTTGAAAAGTTGAAACCCATCTGTAATTTCATGTGGTTTGTTATTAAAATCTATTTTGTGGGTCCTTCAACTAAAGAATCTGAGACTTTTTCTTGTTCTTCCCTATTTTACATGAGATTTTCTGGTTGTGTACATATGTCATGTTGACAAAGATGGTTTATTTTGAGGATCATTCTAAAAGTTGAGTCTTCTTTTTGTTCATTTGAGTAGTAGTTGTGTTGAAATTAAGCTCTCTTGGTTTCTTCTAATTGTCTTTAAGTGGTGTTAGGCTTAGTTTTGGTGGATGTCACTTTTATTTGATAATGAATAATAATTTCTATTAATACTTTGAACCATAGATCAATTAATAGGAATTGCGTCGAAGATTTGTAAAAAATGCTGTCACGATATGCTTTGTTTGTTTGACCTGCTCCATAGTTTGCTCTATCTGAATTCTTAGAACTCTTTTTTGTTATCCCCTTTGGGAGATAATTTTTTATATTTTTCGCGTTTTCTCGTAATTTATCAGTTCGTATATACGTTTTGGAGACAAGGGATGTAATAATGGTACTTAATTGATTTAGCTGGGAACAATGTTACAATCTGAAATATTTCGGTAGGATATAATACTTGTTAAGTATACTATTTGATCCCGTTCAAATAAAAAAAAAAAAGTATCTAATTGAACAATAATAAGGAATTGAGATAATGTATCATGAAGTAAAACCTCTTCTGGAAAGCTAGAACATTAGTATACTCTTCTGACTGTCAATTTTCAATTTTTTCACTAATAATGTTTACAATTTTATGTTCAGATGCTACCAATAAGTTTTGTTGGAGCGCCTCTAGAAATGACAAAGCGCCGCTGGAAGGAGTTCATGCAGGCTTTGTATGAGAACCATTTTGATTTTAGAAAAGATGAAGAGCTGGAAAAGTCTAAAACAGGTGATGACCTCTCTCTGGCAGAATGTAACTAAATGGAGCTACATTTTAACAATCTTGTTCTGTAATCTGAGATCTTAGGAAGTTTATTAAAGTTTAAGGCGACTTGTTACCTCATACGTTGTATATTTTTATGCTGTTATGTGATGGTTTTTGCAACACTTATGTAAATCACTAAAATATGAACCATTTGATTGTGCAAAATCTACATGAAAAAACAAGAATTACTGGTTTGAAGAAGTTTTCTTTTGGTTTTATTAGTTCATCAGTGGTGTGTATAAAATAGGAGTAAGCTATTGCAGACTAGCTCAGATAAAAAAGTAGACATTTGACTGATTAATGTTTGACGGCTGTGAACACACAGTGATCAGAAATTTTTCGAAAGTGAAATTTGATTAGCCTTAAGCTGAATACTCCTTATAGCATATAAAATGACCGACTTTTAAAGCCAGAGTTTGTGAACGAGGAGGACAAAGAAATGTTACTAGGAACTTATTGTGGAAGAGTATGTAATTCACATAAGGTCGACAGTCCTGTCACCTTAGAGGCTTGGACTTATCTTCATTCATATAACCTTACAAAGATCTACTCATAGCATCATTTGTGGGGTTGATTTAGCTATTATGTACTTTGTATGTTTGAGCATATTGTGTTCCATCTCATGTAGAATATACTGCAACTATTTGGAATTAACATGAATTTGCTCTATTGTAGATGTAGAAAACAAACTGCCAAAGATTATAAAGCTGGTAAAAGAGCGACGTCAGAACAGGAGAAACCGAAATGCAGAAGTGCTCTTGAGAAAAGAATCAGAACTTATTGGGCTGATTGAGGATTTCCACAAACAGTATCAATTTGTTTATGGCCAGTATGATGATCTCAGAAGACAGTTATCTGAAACCGTCAACGGAGCAAAAGAAGATGAGGGGTACTTTACAGCCACTTCCAGTTCAGACTCAGAGGCAGAGCTAGAGAAGGATGTAAAGACAAATGGTCACACCCACCTGAGCCGAGAGAAGAAGTCCTTTTACTCTGAATATGTAGAAACGATGAACAAAGCGCAGGAAAATGAGAAAATTATGAAAGAATTGAAAGAGAAGCTTGACGAAAAGAGAGGAGAAATTTCAATCCTTGTTCGGAAGCAGAAGCTTTGTCAGAGGGAAATTTCAGGCTTGATGAGTGAACTAGAGTCAGAGCTCTCATCTTTCAATTTTAAGCTAAATGGGATGTGCATTGAGAAGAAAGCATTAGAACAGCGAGTGGAGAACAAAGAACTGCAAAAACAGGTTTCGAAACTTGAAAAGATAGCAAAAGAGAGGGATGAAGAGATATCTAAACTGGTAAAAAACGGAGTTGATGGTGCTGTTGAAAATAATGGGTTGATAACTGAGGTTTCCAAAATAAAGGGGTTGATAGTACAGGTGAACCAGCTAAAACTAAATGTGGATTGTTTGTTTAATGCTCAGAAAAGTGATTCAGAAAAACAAAAGTTGCCTCAAAGTAATAACAACGGCTTTGCTATGCATGAGAACTTGCTGGATCAGGTGAACAAAATGAAGCGCGATCTGGGGTTCATGAGAAAGAAGAACACAGAACTAGAGTCGAATATCAAGAAGAAAGCCCAAGAAAATTCAGAATTTTTGTCACAGATAGATGACCTCAAGAAGGAACTAACAGAAAAGGCTCAAGAATTTCAGGTAATGCAGAAAGAGAAAGAGGATTCACTAGTGAGAGCAAAAAACTTAGAATTAGAGGCACAACATTCAAGCAACCTCATAAGTGAAAGAGAGAAGCTAATTGCGAAAAAAGAACAAGAAAAGTTTCAATTAACACAGGAAATAGAGATACTGCAAGGGAAAATGGTGAAGATGGAGAATCTGCTGAAAGAAAGAGAGGAACAATTCACTGCACTCCAAAAGGGACTTGAGAATGGAGAGGATGATAAATCTGCTCAGATCATGGCTTTGATGGCTCCGACTAACCACATCGAGCAGGAGTTGGAATTGAAGAATAAATTTGAAATGATTAAGATTAAGAACAATGATATCAGTAAGCTAACTGATGAAAAGGAGTCACTTAAAGAGAGAATATTAGAACTAGAGAAGAGGCTGAAAGATAGAGGAGACAAGTTCTCAACTTTGGAGAATGACTTGTCTACTCATATAGTAGCCTTGAATAAAGAAGTAAGCCATCTGCAGCATGAAAAGGATACAGGAAGGAAGCTTGATAAAAAGCTAAGTTTGCGCAACCAAGAGATTAGTGAGTTAGAAGATGAGAAAGAAAGCCTGCAAGCGAAGGTTTTAGAGCTCGAAATAACATTGACAGTTAAAGAAGACCAAATTGCTGATCTTCAGAGAAAAAGTCAAGCAGGGGAGAATGAGATAAATGGTTTGCAGGGAGATTTGTCTGATGAAAGGAAAAGGCTTTCTGAAAGACTATTCCAACTTGAAAATCAAAACGATGAACTGAATTTTAAGATTTCAGATCAGCAATTTATATTAAAACAACAAGAAGACACCATTAACAAATTGAGAGAGGACTGTAAATTAATGAAAGGGCGCTTCCTGCAGGCTGCATACAGGAAGATGGATGAAGTGGCAGAAGAATTCAGGAAGAATTTCGAGGATAAGCTTCGTATGTTAACACGGAGGATAAGAGTGGCTGAGCAATTGCATGCTGAGACCAAAGAGAGCTGTAAGAAGATGCAAGAGCATTGTCAGCAACAACATCCAGGTTATCTCGACAAAAGACTTGCTCATCAACTGATTTCACCGCGCAAATCTGAGTTACAGACGACAGTTCTTCAAGCAGTCAATGAAATAATGAAGGATATGGAGTGTTTGATAAGCAACTTCGAGAGCAAGGAAGGGAGTTTCATACAAAGATTGTCTAGCATGTCTAATGAGATTCAGGTTGCAAAGAATTGGGTTCGTTTGACAATGAATGAAATAAAACCATGTAAAAATCACGAGTTTGTAGCCTCACCATTTGCATTTACAACGGATGACAAAGAACAAGATAAATTAATGAAGGAGAAGGTAAAGATGTTAGAGGCAAAGGTGAATAAGGAGAAAGGTGATAAGTTAAGGCTTATGAAAGGGATGTATGAGATGCAGAAGAAGGTGGCGGATTTGGAGAACGTGATTGTAGAGAAGGATGAAGGGTTATTGAGACTAGGAAATGAGAAAGTAGAGGCCATAAGACAGTTATGTATGTGGGTTGATTATCGACAAAGTCGCTTTGATCAACTCACCAAAATGATGTTAGTGAAGAAGACTACTAAAAGCTAAGGTAGAGCTTAAATGCATGATTTCTTGCATTTCCTTCCCTTAATTCATACCATTTTTTAGCCACTACATGAATTTTGTACAACTATTTTTTATTTTTTAATTTTTTTTTATTTTTTTTATATTTTTTATATTTTGATTTACTTTGGAATTTCATACCACAAACCTCCCTTATTTTTGGATTAGGGGATTAGTGTATTCTATTAGAAATTTTATGTATAATGGTAAGATGTATAATTATATTGTGATACATTGAATTCTGCTAAAATTTGAAATTAATCTTTCCTTTTCATATCATTATTGAATATCTAGTGCATGCAACTCCATGTCCCACTAAAGACAAAAAACTTGTATGGTACACTCAATAATACTTTGATGTTGGAAATCTAATTTAATTATTTATATTTGAAATTTTGATTATATATATACTCCCTCTGTTTTTAAATACTTGCTTCACTTTTTATTTCCGGCCGTTTTTAAATACTTGCTCCATCTTCTTATTTGGATAGTTTTTACAGTATTTAATTTATTTCTATCAACTAGTGGATCCAACATAAATTATATTTTATTAATTTCATATTCTCTCTCCTCCAATTCTTTCAGCTACTTTTGTTTTTTACAATTTTTTATTCTTCCATCTACCCCACTACCTCCATATTTTATTACTTTATCCAATTTCTCCTAAAACTCCGCGCATGCAGAAATGGAGCAAGTATTTAAAAACAAAGGGAGTACTTCTTATTTATTAAGGCCAAATATACCGAGATTCGAATTAATAAGAAATTTATCATTCTATTTATATTTTATACCAGTGATTTCCTTACATTCATTTAGTCCATAGGAGTATGTATATGGTCCTCCATATATAGGAGTTTTTGAGGAATATACCTCTTATTAAATATCTACTCATAAATCTTTGAGAAAAATTTATAATTTTATTTTTGAGAGGATTATTCCTCTTTTATTAGACAAGTATATCCAAATCTTAGAGAACAAATATATAATTAGAAAGGTTAGAAAATGTGAAGTTGTCGACATAACCTCACAATCATAGAGAAGACAGGGCATGCAAAAAAGATGATATAATCATTACCAAACAACGCGCGGGAAAGTTGCCCACCTGGCATCATCAAACCTCAATAATTCAAATTCACTTTTTTTTTTTTTAACAATATTTCTATTTGTGTTTTGCACTTGTCTTTAAGATATGAGTACAACTAGGCGATGTACAAATAGTTGATAAAATTTTAAGACAACATTTTTACTTGAATGTTAAATACGATTAAATAATTCGTTCTGCTAATGTAGAATATTTAGACATACGATATCATATGGCGGCTTATATTTATATAATAGTGTACTTTGTGTAATTTTGTTTGTAAGTAGATATTTATGTTATTATTGACTTGAAATTATTTTTAATGACATTAAATTATTTTCACTGAATTTAAAGTATTATTACCAAACTAAAATTATTTTTACTGATTAAAACTTATTTTTACTGATTCTCTAATATTTTTTTAAATAAATTAAATAACAATGCACTTTGTATGTGGCTAGCCACACCATCAGACCGGACAAAGTAACCCTATAAAACTGACCGAGTAACCCCTATAATACGAACCGAGTAACCTCTAACAGTGACTAAGTAACCTTTATCTATAACACTGATTGGATAATCACTATAACTCTTGTAATAGCTGGTGACACGATTTGGCCAGCTACGTATAAAACTTTGTGATTAAATATATTATATATGGATCTTAGTTTAAAGAACTTTTTAAAACGAATTTGATGATGGAAATAGAATTGAGTTATAGGATATTAATTAAAAGTTAGGATTATTTTTAAAACGAATTTGATGATGGGAATAGAATTGGGTTATAGGATATCAATTAAAAGTTATGATTAATTTTATATTTATGAAATATTAGAATTATATCGATAATAAAACTCTATACAACAATTTTATCTTAAAAAATATATCCAAAAAATCGCTTATTTAGCATCATATGTGTCACAATAATACCTATTTATCTCCTACGTGGCGCGACACTTGGCGAAAAATTGGAATGTCAAGTGTCACTGTCTCGTGGCCTGTATGCGAGACCAACTTTATTTATTAGTGACTAGTTTGTGCCCGAGCAATGCCCAGATGGTTGATAAAATTTTAGAATAAACTTATTGATTTGAATGTTAAATATGGTCATATAATCTGTTTTGATAATGCAGGATATTTAGACATACGATATCATACACCTCATTTATAATGGTGTATTTTTTTGGAGTTTTGTTTATTAATAGATATCTATGTTATTATTGACTTGAAATTATTTTTATTATTGAACTTAAAATTATTTTTACTGATTTGATTCTCTATTATTTTTTAAATAAGTTAAAAATATATAATTAAAATGGATCTTATTTTAAATAATTTTCTAAAATAAATCTTATGATGGAAATACAACTGAGTTATTGACTATCTATTAAAAGTTATGATTAATTTTGTATATATTAAATATTAGAAGTATATTGATAATAAAACTCTATACGATAAAACTATCCAAAATTCACTTACTTAACATCATATGTGTCACATACAAAAATACTTATTTGTCACCGATGTAGCATGACACTTGGCGAAAAATTGGAATGCCAAGTGTCGTTGTCTCGTGACCTGGCTGCGAGACCGGCTTTATTTATTAGTGATATGATATGATGTGATGTGATAGCTCTAGTTTTGTACGTATTAGTAAAATTTATGAAAATTAAAATTTGATAGTATTAAAATGCAAATTGTAACAAATCTAAAAATATTTTCACATAATAATTCTTTTTTGTATATAGTAATTATAAGATATGATCAAAGTTTATATGTTTGATCACATATTCACATGAATAGTAAAAGGAAAGATAAAAAAAAAACGGAGGGAGTAATACTTTCAGAGTTTTTTTTCCTAACTTTTCACCCCTATATTCGAAAACCCAATTCTTAAATTTTCTTCACTTTTTTATAATTTTTTTTTTAATAAAATAACCCCATAAAAAATGGTTCCAACATTTTTTTTTCAAAACTATTCAATTAACTACCTACTTCATTATTTCAATTCTTCATCTAAACAAAAAAAAAATCTAATAATATATCAAAATTAACTTCCCACATTTTAATAATAATTTTATTATTATAAATTTTAATATTTTTTCTATATTATATATCCCGTGCATTTGTACGAGTACACAACTACACTCTAGCCATCTAGTGTACGGTAAGTTAGGAAATAAATCCCGAATTCTAGTAAATAAAATCGAAAATTTTCTGGATTTTGATTGACAAAGGATTTTTTTTTTTACTAGTAAATGGAATTATATTTTACAAGGGAAAATAAAATAGAAATAATTTAGTTCAGCAAAAAAAAAAAAAAAAGGTCTAAAATTTATCATATCATATCACATCACATCACAAATAAATAAAGCCGATCTAGCAGCCAGGCCACGAGACATCGACACTTGGCATTTCAGTTTTTCGCCAAGTGTCGCGCCACGTAGGCGACAAATAGGTATTATTGTGACACATATGATGCTAAGTAAGCGGATTTTGGATAGATTTTGTAAGATAAAAATATTGTATAGAGTTTTATTATTTATATACTTTTAATATTTCATATATACAAAATTAATCCTAACTTTTAATAAATATACTATAACTCGGTTCTATTTCCATCATAAAATTCGTTTTAAAAAGTTCTTTAAAATAAGACTCATTTATAATATCTTTCAAAAAAAAAGACTCATTTATAATATATTTAATTTATTTAAAAAAATAATAGAGAATATTGGTAAAAATACTTTCAGTTCAATAAAAGTAATTTAAGTTCAATAAAAATAATTTCATGTTAATAATAACGTAGATATCTATTAACAAACAAAACTACAAAAAAATACACTGTTATATAAATAAGCGATATGATATGGTATGTCTAAATATCCTATATTATAAAAAGGGATTATATATATGATCGTATTTAACATTCAAGCCAAAAAATTTATCTTAAAATTTGATTAACAATTTGGGCATCGCCCAGACACAAAACTATCATATCATATCATATATATCACTAATAAATAAAGCCGGTCTCGCAACCAGGCCATGAAACAGTGACACTTGGCATTTCTGTTTTTCCCCAAATGTCGCGCCACGTAGGCGATAAATAGGCATTATTGTGACACGTATGATGCTAAGTAAGCGATTTTTGGATAGAATTTTTAAGATAAAATTGTTGTATAGAGTTTTATTATTGATAGAATTCTAATATTTCATATATATAAAATTAATCATAACTTTTTATAAATATTCTATAACTCAATTCTATTTCCATCATCAAATTCGTTTTAAAAAGTTCTTTAAAATAAGATCCATTTAAAATATATTTAATCACAAACTTTTATATGTAGCTGGTCAATCCGTGTCATCAACTATTATAAGAGTTACTTCGTGAGTGCTATAGGGGTTACTTGGTTAGTGTTATAGTGGTTACTCAATTAGTGTTATAGATAGGGGTTACTTAGTCAGTGTTAGAGGTTACTCAGTTAGTATTACAAGGATTACTCGGTTAGTTTTATAGGGGTTACTTTGTCCGGCCAGATGGTGTGGCTAGCCGCATACAAAATGCATTGTTATTTAATTTATTTTAAAAAAATAGAGAATAAGTAAAAATAAGTTTTAATCTATAAAAATAATCTTAGTTTGGTAAAAATACTTAAGTTCAGTGAAAATAATTTAAGCTCAATATAAGTAATTTCAAGAAAATAATAACATAGATATTTATTTACAAACAAAACTACAAAAAGTACACTACTATATAAATATAAGCCATATGATATCGTATGTCTAAATATCCTACACTATCATAACGGATTATATGACGGTATTTATTAACATTCAAGTAAAAATATTATCTTAAAATTTTATCAACCATTTGGGTATTGCCCGGGCACAAAACTAGTATATATATAAAAGGGAGTTTTTTCTCGAGTTTTTAGAGTGCCGCGTAGAATTTTATTTTTTAAAAAATTATTAGAGCGCCACTTCAGACTAATAATTTTAAAACGTTACAATCGGATTATGCCACGTAAGATTAGTTTTTTTTTAAAGCGCTACGTAGGATTATAATAAAAAAGCGCCACGTAAGATTAATAATTTTAAAATGCTATAATAGAATTACGCCATGTAAGATTAATGTTGTAGCGCCACATAGGAAAATGTTATATTTTAGCCAACGAAAAAAAAAGAATTGTAATTTATTTTAGATCAAAAAATTTGTATTAATTATAAAAATAAAATCAGCGCGTTTTTTGTGTGGCTGGCCATATTGTGTGGCCGGCTGAGACACACCCAAACACTGACCGAGTAACCCCTGACTGTCTGAGTAACCCTTGCATCAACCAAGTAACTCCTGACCAAATAATCCCGACCACACGGTGTGACTAGTCACATATAAAACTTTGTGAAATAAACTATGATCTTTTTATATTACGAATTTTATCTAAATATGAGAAACAAAGTTAATAATTCATTTATAATAAAAAAAAATCAAGTAGTAAGCAAGCGAATATCACAAAGTTTTTTAGATAAATATATATTTAGTAAAATATTTTAATTGGAAAAATACAAATAACCGTGTATCACAAGGACTTCATCTAATTTTATATAATAGGGAGTACATAAATTGTGCAAGTAATATAGATATATATCAATTTATTGATCCTTCAAAAAATGGGTTAATATTAATTATGAGTAAAGGCTTCAGTCTATGAGTCTATCACTTAATATCCATTTAGGCTACTCTACCTAAGTCATCTAACATCAAGCATAGAAATAATTTAGTACACAAAAATTGGAATCGTATTTATTATACTCGCGTCGAAGTTAATACTCAATTTTCAAACATATCGGTTACATTTTTTATTTTTATTTTTTCTAACAAAAAAATTTCTTATCATTTATTTACCTCACAATAATTACACTAAAGGAGGGTTTGGTTAAAGGGATAGAAATAAGAAGGGAGGATAAAGATAGGGGATTGATAAGTGGGACAAGAATAAATAATTTTTATCCCATGTCTGGTAAGTATGGGAAACAAATTAGGGATAAGTAATAAAATTATAAAAATACCCTTACTAACCTATACCCTTTTTCCTTACCCTTTCAATTTCATTAAGGGTAATTTAGACTTTTTCAACCCATTTCTTATTCCTTCTTCTTATACCACTCCTTTAGTTATAGAAATGAAAGGATAAGTGGGTGTTTTAATCCATATCCCTAACCCCCTTCTAATCCCCGCCCCTCTAAACAAACACTACTTTTCTTCTATTCCTATTTTTTATCCTTATCCCACCGTTTTTATCCCTCTAAACAAACACCCTTTAATCACACTTAACTACATAATCTCTAATCCCTATCACTCATTTGAAGTAGGATTATCTTCAATCATCAACAAGAACAACTCCAATGTCAATTTGTCAAATTAGTTTGTCATGCCACATAAGTTTTTAAGCTAATTGTTATTTTTCTTACTTTGAGCTCTAATGGCTTATTAGCTTACTATTTAATTGAACCCCACCTCCTTAAATAAGTTTTTTATATTTTATTTATTCTTTTTTTTTTTAATTTATTTTGGCAAGTTTTTTTCAAGGCAAGCTAATTGCATTTCCTAGCTCTAATGGGCAAGCTAATAGCTAGGGATTATTTAATATTGCAACAAAATCCCTAGCTACAACTACCACCATTGGAGTTACTTTTTACTCCTAATTTTTCACTTATGGGTATTTCTCAATATACCGTCCACGTCATTAGTTATAAGTACGGAGTATTGAATATTATTTTTTACTGATCTACATAAAAAATGTTTATTGTTGGTTTTTATGCTGTTTACTGATTTTCATAAAAAATGTTTATTGGTGGTTTTTATGCTGTTTACTGATTTACATAAAAAATGTTTATCGGTGGTTTTTATTGAAATCGTACTTATATTATTGAACGGAGGGTGTAATAATTTAAAAAAAAAAACATTCAACATCGAAATTATGAAAAACACCCAACATAGCTCTCTCCGTCTCTCGCCAGCCTTGCCTGAAAACCATGTTCTCCATGCTGCTTGCCAGCCAATAAACAACAAAAATCATGCATGTAATACCAACATTTTCTCAAGGGTACTCTTGTCAGAAAGGTACCTCTCTTAAGATTCCATACATTTCCCAAATAAATTAAAATAAATAAAATTAAAAAAAAATAGAAAATATATTTGGTTTTTCTGAAGCTCCAAATGATGTGCTAGTCATTTTATAGTCTATTTTTACTTTATTTTATTTTTTTGACTCCAAATCAGACAAATCTTCTTTGCCAAATTTCAATTTCATTACTTTCTCTCTCCTCCCTCCTTTTTCTCTCTCTTTCTCTGTCCTGGTGGTTCAACTTCTACTGCAAAAGAAGAGCAGAGTATTTGAACTTCTTTTCATTTTTTCAGGTAATCTTCATTATCTGGAACTTAATCAATGAATAAATTTTAATTTTAGCTTTAATTTTACTTCAATCAGATGATCTTCTGCTGAATTCCGATTAAATTTTGCTGTTTAAGCTACTTTTATATTAATCTGATAAGCTTCAAATATATGGAATATTAATCGGAGAAATTATATATTTAGCTTTAAATTTTGCTATAAACACATGATTTTGTGTTAAATTCCGATTGATTTTTGTTGTTTAAGCTAATTTTTATTTGTTCTAGCAAGCGCTTCAAAATTCTGCAAAATTTATCGAAGAAATTATCGATTTCAACTTTAATTTTACTATAAATCATATGATCTTGTGTTAAAATCTGATTGAATTTCGTTGATTGATCAAATGATTTGAACTACTTTGATTTGCTTTTTCCGATCTTTTGAAGTTGTTGTGAAAACTTTTCGATGAGCGTTTTTCCTTACTTTTTTTAGCTAACTGAAGTTGCTGTGCTTAGGTGTAAAGTTGTTGTTTGATTTCTTTTTCTCTTCCTTTTTCAAGATTCATCTGATTTGTGCTTTCTGGAATCCTGATTCATATTTTTCTTTGGCGTCCTAGAAATTTTTGAGCGAAGTTCCGACGGTTACTACAATAATTCAACTGGAAAGTTCTGGATTTACAGGTATAAACTCAACTATTTCCGGAAGTTTATCTGAATTTCTTAAATTATGTTAAATTAATTGATTAGCTTCAAAACTTCGATGTTGTTTTTTTATATTGATTACTCTTATGATCTTATCTGATAAGTTATGAAGTATTTTCTGGATTTTAATATTTTACTTATTTTTCCATGTTTTTTTTTTGTGAAACAAACCAACTATTTTTTCCATGTTAATAATATTTAAAAGCTCAGGTGATATTTAATCAACAAAAAAAATAAAAAAAATAAAAAAGGTTGAAGTCTTTTAGAGAAGTGAAATTGAAGTTTCTGTCTATCTGAATTGACTGCTGTTTAGTTCTAGCAGTTTTTACATTTACTCCTTTTGTCCGGATGATCGGATTTAGTTGTCACGAGCGTAGTCCGATTACGCGATCAATATGACTATTAATTTGGTGAACAGAGTCGGTGAGTATTGGATAATTGTTTCCTTTTTGTTCGCATTGGAGAAGTATGGAAAATCTCATGTGAAGTATGTTTGGGTTTATGTGGCACCGATCTCGAATACTGCGTAGGGAGACAGTAGACAATTACAAAAAAGAACAACTCACTTTTGTCATGCTCAAGCTGTTTTATTGAGTACTAAAATCATACTCCGATGTATTTCTATTGATTGATTTGGCTGCTTGTGTTACGTTACGTGGCAACACATGATGTTTGTCAAATTAAGTACACCAGTCAAACATTTTGATTACAATATACAGGAATTTTGAACAAATTGAAGGTAACTTAGGATCCAGTCCGAATTTCCGATTATTTTAAGTTGGATTGTGATAGCCAGATCACTTGGCGATTATGTTTGTTTATATATGTCTTTTAGGAGTCGCCGATGCATGTCTGCTGGTTTTTTAGATTTGATTTTTATAATATATATTGCGAGTTCACTACAGATTTGTGTTCGATAGAAGTATGTGCTCTAGCTAGGTTTGGGAAGTGGACATGATTTAGCCACAAATCAGATAAATCATAATGATCATTTCTTATGTGTGTATTAATATAAAGAAAATTGGATAATAATCTGTAAAGTTTTGTCTGTGTTTATTTGGAATTTCAACCTATTGCACCATAAGATGCATACTCTTAAATATACGGGTAAGATGTAGATTCCTCCCTTGGGTAAAATGAATTTGAATTCGTTGTATTTATTTATTTATTTATGTAGTAGTTTTTTCTGGGTAATGAACTCCATCTTATTGATGTAGTTACTAATACGGAGTATAAGTTGGGATTTTGCCCAACAAAAAAGTTAAGCATTTGATTCTTGATTTAATTAGAGAGCTAATATATGGTTCTACAATCATACAAGAACTAAGGATTGTAAGCAAATTACTCAGTCTCTCAAATGTTGTGGATTGGGATGGTTTAGTTGGATGATTGGATTAGTTACTATTTATTGGTTTGATGAAATTAAATTTACATATACAATGCAAAAGTAAATTTTAAAGTGAGGGTTTTGACCCTCATTAATTTGTTTAGTTTTTAGTCCTTAAACCAACTCAAGATCAGGTGTGCTAACACCTAAGTGCAAGTTTATTTTATTTAAGGTTGGTTAGTATTTAATTATATCCCTTAAATATATGATAAATTCCAGTGGGTGATAAGGTGGCGTTTTCTGGTAGATGGTAGAATTTACAGGAAGCATACAAGCTGTTGTTCAAAATCTACCTGTCTATCAAAACAAAGCCTAAATTTTCTATTTGCAGCTGAGAGTAACAAAACTTCCTATTTGTTTGACCCAGGTTATGATTCTTTCCTGTCTTGAGCTTCATTCAGATGCATAGAGGTTGAGGAAATTTAAGGTGAGAAGCTAGTCAAAATGACGAAGAAACATCACCGCATGAGAAATTCAATAAAGACCTTTTTTGAAAAGCATACTGATCCTGAACAACATGAGAAGCTTCAAGAAATCAAAAAAGGTGTGCTCCTTTAACATGAAAATCTTAAACTTATTCCTCCGATTTCCCCACGTTTTCCAGTGCTCTATGTGTCATCTGTAAATGAGATCTGCCCAATTTGGGTTATAATGCTTGTTGATTCCATATTGAAGGCACTGCTGATTGGAAAATATGATAATGTCTTAATTTCTATCATCGAAAAAAGTCATATTCACTAATCTATCTTATTGTAAGTCGATGCATCCAGCAGCATGAAAAAGGTCTTGCTGCCTCTCATTAGCAACTATAATAATTTAGTCCTCTTGTCAAGGCTTAACTAAGTTGAGCTAAGACAGATCATTAGTTGTTCCCTTGGTTAAAAAAAAAAAAAAAAAAAAAAAGAAAATTTACTCCCAATTGTAAGTGCCTTATGTAACGAGTTTCCTATGTGTTTGTAGACATGGAGGAGAAGAAGAAAAGATTACTGAACCTTGTGAAGAGCAACGAAGAAAGTGATGAATCAAAAAAAGAGCCTCTTGCTGAACTCATTGAGGATTTTCACAAACAGTATGAATCACTCTTTTCTCAATATGATCATCTCACTGGTAAATTGAAGGAGAAAGTTAGCAAGCCACAGCAAAAGAAAGAGAAGTTCTCTTCCTCAGAGTCAGACTCTGACTCTGACTCAGACCATTCATCCAAGGGAAAAGACATCAAAAATGGAAAAGTAGAAGATGAAAATAAAGCCACTGATGGAATCCAGCAAGAGCTTGAAGCAGCAAAACTCGAAGTTGCAGATCTCAATAATGAGCTGGCAACAACATGCAATGAGAAAATCGCTCTTGAATCAGAGTACAAGGCATTACTGACAGAGCAACAAGATTCAGACAAAATTGTGGAAGATATGAAGGTAGAGGTTCAAAGATTGGATTCTGAGAAATCAGAACTCCTGACAGAAAAAGAAGAGCTACAGTCAAAATTAGAGAACTTTGTCAAGACAGAAGCTGAACTGAGTCAACAGATTGAAGAACTGAAACAAGATAGAGATAACCTTGCCACTGAGAAAGAAGTTTTTATCAAAATGCTTAAAGAAGAGAACCAAAATGTAGAAAGTTTGAAAGGCGAGGTCAATCAGCTGCAAAGTGAGAAAAAAAGCATTGAGATTGAATTAGAGACAGCTGCCCAGGAAATGTCTAGGATAAAACCAGAATTAGACTCATGGAAGCAGGAAGCAGCAAACTTGAAGGAGACCATGAAAGTTGCTGAAGAGGAAAACGCATCTCTTTCTTTGAAAATGTCACAAATGACTGATGAACTCAAGCAGGCACTGGGTACCATGGAGGAGCTGAAAGCAGAGTATGCCACCTCAAATGATAAGTTGGCTGAGAGGGAACGAGATTTCTTATCCCTAAGGGAGATGCACGTTGCCCATACAACAGGAGCTTCAGAACAAATAAAGGCTTTGGAAGAACAGACAAACAGTTTGAAGCTCGAGCTGGACTCGTCAAAACGAGAAAACGAAAACTTGAAGGGATCAATGATCACTGCTGAAGAAGAAAAAAATTCTCTCTCTCACAAAATTTCACAAATGACTGATGAATTCAAACAGGCACAGGATGCTCTGGATGAGCTGAAAGCAGAGTCTAACAGCTCAAAAGAAAAATTGCTTGAGCAGGAAAGGGAATTTTCATCCCTAAGGGAGATACATGATGTACATAAAACTGGAGCTTCAGAACAAATAAAGGCACTGGAGGAAGAGACAAACAGTTTAAAACTTGAATTAGAGAATTTGATTAGTGAGAACAGAGAGAAAGAAGAGCTGTTTGAGAGTAAATCAGCAGAAGCCAGACTGTTGGGAGAAGAGGTAGCTGAGTTAAGGGAGCAGATTTCACAAATGGAGACGATGTCAAAGGAAAGAGAAGAACATATATTATCTCTCCAGGAGAAACTTGAGGTTATGGAGAATGAGTCAAATTCCAGAATTGAAGCCCTGACAGCCCAAGTCAACAACTTAACACAAGAAATTGAAATGTTATCTGCTGAGAAAAGTCAACTGTCAGAACAGATGGCTGGAAGAAGTGACGAAGCATCTGTTCAAATCAAGGAATTACAGGACCAGATCAGCTCATTGGAGCATGAAATGAAAACCTTACAGGTTCAGGAAAGGGAGATGAAGTTGGATCTTGAGAGAAAAGACGAGGATATTGCAGAGTATCGGATACAGATAGAAGGTTTGCATGAGAAATTAACTAGCAGTGATGCACTTCTGAAACAATTTTATGAAGAAAAGGAAACTCTGGAAGCCAAGTTAATGGACCGAGAGCTGGAAGTGGAAACGCTAAACAGCCACAAAACAGGACTAGAAGAGAAAACTATATCAAGCAACAGCGAGGCTACTCAACTAAGAGAGGAGATCACAAGGTTGCAAGATAGGATTCAGGAGCTGGAGAAATCATTACAGGAGAGGGTTGACGAGTCATCTACAATGCAGAGAAGGCTTGAAGACGAAGAGAATGAAGCATCTTCCAAGATTACAGCCTTAATGACGGAGATCAGCAATTTGAAGCAGGAATCAGAAGCAGCTCAAATCGTTAAAAGCCAGTTGGAGGCACAAGTTGAGAAGGAGAAACAGGAATATCTTGAGGGTCTGAATCTGCTAGAAACCGAGAATGTTGATCTGAAAACCAATATAGATGATCATCTCAAGACCGTACAAGAACTAGAGGATGAATTGATCAATAGAAAAGAGCAGTGTGAACAACTTGAAACTCGTCTTCAAGAGAACGAGGCGGAACTCCAAGAGGCAAAGAGAACAATCTGGGAACTGAAGGAGGATTTGAGCATGAGTAGTGAATCAAAAGATCAGAAGATTTTGGAGTTTGAGATATTAGTTGAAGAATTGAAAAGAGATCTAGAGGTGGCTACAGATGAAGAAAAGACTGCTTGGGAGAAAACCCGGAATATTGAAGTTCAGCTACGTCTAGCAAACCAAAAACTCAGGGTCACAGAACAACTACTGAGCGAAAATGAAGAGAGCTTCAAGATTGCTGAAATGAAATATCAACAAGAGTGTAAAGAGCTAGAAGACAAATTCACTCGGCTCGCTCAAGTACTTGCTGCTAATAATGAAGCTTATCGTGGAATGATAATGAATATCTCAGAGAATGTGAACATTTCATTAGCTGGAATGGAAGCAGTCATGAGTAAATTTGAGGAGGATCACCAGAGGTTCTCTAACAATATCTTCAGCATGTCCGAAGAGGTTCAAATTTTGAAGCAATGTGCAATAGGGAAGAATGTTGAGGGAGAGCAGTTGAAAGAACGGCTGGGCAATCTAAATGAGCAATTGAAGAATGAGAGAGAACAGGTACTAATGATGACAGAGAAGATTGGTAAGTTGGAAGTTGAGGTTGACAACAATAAAGGCGAAAAAGAAAAGTTGGTTTCTGCAGTACACGAGCTGAAGAAGGCAACAGGAGAGATGAATGTGGCATTGAAAGAGAAAGATGAGCGACTATCAACCCTTGGGGAGGAAAAACGTCAAGCCATAAGGCAGCTATGCTTGTGGTGCGATACTTTGTACACCCAATATGATGAGCTCAAGAAGACTGTCCCAAAGACAACCCCACAAAGAAGGTAAAGGTAGATATAGAATCTTTTGGGGTTTTTTTTGTCCTATTTCGGGAGTCATGCATTTAATTTTGGCTTTCAAGGATTTTCATTATTGTTTCATTGTCTTCGGTAGGGGGCCGATTGTGTCATGGCCTCATGGGTGTAAAATAGAGTGTATATCCTTATGTCTGTCGAGTAAGTATAGATTTTTTTGGTGTGTTTCCTTCGATCCAGATATTTGGGGACTAGATTTATTCTTTACCTGATATAGAAATAAATGTCATGTTTTTATTTATTTTTCTGGGTCAATTGTCATCTCCAAATACTACTACTCTGAGTTTTCTCCCCCATTTCTCATCTGAGCTTCCTCAGTTTCATCAAAAACACATTTTTTGATCGCCAAATATATTAGTCTTCTTAACAGCACTGCCATTAACTAAATATCACCCCTTCAGAGTTTGATTGGCTATAAAGAAATATTGCATATGAAGATATCAAATGATTTATTATTATGCAGCTCGCAAATCACTAATTTTACAAATGCCGAATGTGGTTTCTCATACAAGAGAAAGTCCATTAGTACCAATTTGTACCATTATTTGATTCAGCAAAAAATAAAAATTATGGGCAACAATACAGTAAATGAGCGTCGGTAAGATAGATCGATCTATAAAATTATTGATAAAAGGGTTTTATCAATCTCCTAGGAAATCTAGGATATTACAAGCTATTTCTTATTAGAAATACCAAATAAATAAAAAGGGCAAAATCAAAAGGGAAATTAAGATGATCACTTGATGCAGATACCAGCATCTGCAGCCACAAGTACGGCTTTCGAAAATAATCGTGAACCGCAAAAGAATTATTCCCTCAGAATTTACCTTTACTGTGAGCACCCAAACCCTAATTCAGAAATTAAAAGTTCCAACTTTCAATCGCTTCAGTCTGAAATTCTCATCTCCACTCCAAGTAAATCTTTCACAACTTCATATGTGACAAATGCAATTGAAATGGATGGAACCACCTGAAGCATTTATAATTTCCAAAGTGAGATAATGACCAAAACAAAAATTAAAATTTGAGCATGGAGAAAATAAAAAGGAAAAGAACAACTTGCCTTTACAGAATTTGGAACTAAACCCTTGTACAAGGCTCGAAAACCCTCGTATCGAACTGTCTTCCTGAAGGCATCAACCATACCTGTATACTCGAGTGCAATCTTTTTCCCATCACCAGTGACAACTGTAGATGCATCTTTCCAGCCGACCATCTGCATTCTTCGGCGTACCACGTCAAGAGGATAAGCAACAGTCTGGCCAATAGTCCCAGCAACAGCACCACATGCAAGCCTCGTTGTTACACCCAACTCATTGTCTTGAACAAGCCCAAATGTTTTTTCTTTGATCAGCCAGTCTTTCAGAGATTCGTATACAGCAAAATTGAGACCCACATATGGAACCTGCAGATAACAAGTATCATTAAGGCATAAAAGTTGAAAAAATTGCATCCTTAACTTTTCCCTTCTCTTTGTTACAAAGCCATTTACAGTTTTACACACATGGTGTACAATGCTAGTATACCAACAAACAATTAATAAGTGATAATCACCAAAACCAATGAAAAATTCACATTCTAAGCCGAGCCTAGTCTTGCATTAACAAAGGAAGACTAATAATGTCTGTACACTCACATATGACATACTACGCATAACTGTAAAAGCCAATATGCCATACCAGCCCATATACCGCCGAGTTATAACTTATAAGTAATGACAAGTTTTAAAAGGATACTCCTCAGTATATTGGATATAGTTAAATGCTCAGTAAACAGGTCTATTATATTTAGGAAAGAGGAAAATTTTCCATTTTAATACTTCATTCCAGTTTATGTCCCAGCAACTAATACAATCTCCAGCCCATAGCTAATATTGTCATATTATGAAATTGAATTTATAAGAAAACCAGCATTTGCATATTCAGACTTCAGCAACCAAGCTACATCACTCCATAGGTAATGCCTAGATGAATTAAGATAGTGTGATTGGGGATCTAACTATGATATAACAAAAACTGGAAATAAAAAAAATAAAAAATAAAATAAATAAATAAATAAAAATAAAATAAAATTGTTGTTCCAGGAAAGACTGCACAGTGATCAAACCCGTAGGTTGTAGATATTAGACAATCTGTCTTATGTATCAGATTTCATCAGAACTGCACATAACAATCAGATTCCAACTGAGTACTCCCTCTTCCCTCCAACCATAACTAATAGTCACATGCACTGTGCCACTTTTTTAGTATGACTGGAAAAGTTTCTAACATTTTTTATTTAATAATAAATAACAGTGCGTGATTTGACTTTTCCAAAACCATGTTACTAAAAATCTAAAAGTGAGTAATTGGGAAAGTATAAATGGCCAACTATTAACTGTGTCATAGCTAAAATGGGGGATAGGAGCAACGTAACCATTAGTTTTGGACGGAAGGAGTGTATTTAGTGCTTATTGAAAAAATGTGCTACTAAGACCATATACAGAAATACTGGTTTTCCAATTTTCCCTACAGATGCATGCAGTTAATATCAATGCACACCAGTGAGTGATAAAATATACGAGTAACATACTCCCTTTGTTCCAGATTAGTTTGAACAATTTACATGTTAATCTGTCCAATAATAATTTGAGCCCTACCTTTAAGAGTGGTACCAACAATTATTTACTACTTTGTATGTCACATCCCTTCTTTTGAACCCACTTAATATAACAATAAAACCCTACTAACTCCCATCACATCTACAGTTCTATTCAAAGAATAATTGATAGCCTAACAACAACTGTTAAGTGTTTGAACTGCTGTTGGACAGAGGGAGTAAATATAGAAAAGTTGATTTTGGAGTCCAAGAGCAAGTACAATAGATTAGAATTGATGCGCACCAAAAACCATCTACAGAAGATAGCTTCCAACAATCACCCAATCTGATTACTATATAACATAAATGTACTATATATCGCTTTTCTTAACACAAGTCACCTACAGTCATGATTAATTCAATATGCCACCACAGCCCCTACACGTTAATGCCATTTTCATCTGTTATCCCAAATTATCTAGGTCTATAAAAATTTGTTGGCTGATTTTCGATGGGAGAAATAATAATCAAAATTTTAAGTAATTTATATTGAATCCCTATTCACATAGTACTTACCACACCAATAACAGAAGGGAGCCACCCTTTGTACAAGGCCCGGAAACCCTCTTCACGCAGAACAGTTGTGAGAGCATGATATATCCCCCTATACTGCTGAGGAGATTTAGCAGTCTGCGAAAGAAACAACAGGAGTAAAAATAGGTGACCAAAAAGATTACTTATTGATATTGGTTGGTATAGAAAGCTAAATGCATACCTGAACAGTCAACCGGCCTCGTACCATATCCATTGGGTAAGTTGCGGACATGGCAATGATTCCAGCACATGCTCCCGCTCCAAGACGTAAAACAGGAGTCAGTTCAGCATTCTCTGCAAAATACAATGCAAGATAAATCTGATTGTCTCCCACAGAGCAACCCATCATCATACAATCTGTTGATAGTCAATTCATCATACAATCTGTTGATAGTCAATTCAATGCATCTTGAAACAAGGCACTTGTATTAGTCAATCAATATACCATATCAACAGCAACTACCAAGTCTGAAAATATTAGAACGCTTCTGTCCAAGATAAATTTCATTCACTATTTTAAGCAAAACTGGAAAGGTATATTCAAACCTAGAGGCACATTCCTAGTACATAATTCTTATTATATCTACTGCCTTTTTTTCTCCTTTCCACCGCTCTACCTTTAATGAGTGCCCGATCACAGTTTGACTAGGCTTGATTTGAAGGCTCAGGAACAAGCTTGGGTTTTTGTTTAGTGCTGTATACATTTTGTTAAATTCAAGTTACATGTATAGAAATAATACTGCATATACAATTAGTCACTACACATTTATGTTTTTGAGCGAAAATTGATTCACAGCTATGGCTGTAAATTGTATGACATATTTGGAATACTAAACAAACACACAAGACATGTTTACCAAAAACAAAAGGCGAGGTGTACCAAGGACACAAGAGATGATGGGAGTTAAGACACATGAACGTTGTCCTACGTAAAAGTCAGCATCATAACATATGTAAATGCTTTCTCAGAGTTCCACCAGCCACCCCTTTCTTTGTCCATTGCTCACTCTCATTCTTGCATTGGTGCCTCGGTGGCAAGGCCCTCAGCAGCAGCCAGGGGAATCAACTGCAAGCCATACCTGCACTACTACATTACTAACAGGTGTGCATTACACAACTGCAGTAGTGCCATTGTAGGGGCATAGGTTAAAGGTTTCACTCAACACTGGCAATGATTAGACCATCAGCCCATCAACATCCACAAATATCCAGCCAGTTACACACTAGACACCACCTCCTCTGACTGCCTGACATGTATTTGTTTATGAGAGTCATGTACCTTAAAGTAGAACATCAGGCATACTCTCCTCATAAGAGCCTCACTTAAATTTTTAGGAAGGAATACCCACCTGGCAGGCGGCGGGTCATAATGTTATGTTTATGAGAGTCATATCAAAATAACCATCTTGGGTAAGATTAAGCTGTGTACTTGGACATTCCTAATTCCATTGGACAAACAAAAACCTTTCTAGTGCGTCCATGTAATAACCTGAGTGTGTTTACCTTATGCAATGTATATTTGCTATATGGAGATTTGCTTAAATCTAAGCTACCAATGCTCCCTCCACCCCACTTTAACTGGCCACATTTGATTAGAGGCCATTTTTAAGAAAATCACCTGAAAACCTGTAATTATCCTTGATACTACAGATCAAATTCAAACAAATGTAAGAAAATGTTGGAAAAAATCATAACTCAAACTAATAGATTTGGAAAGTGGCCAATTATGTTAGGACATCCCAGCCTAACAGAGGAAATAAAAACTTCAAAATATGGGAGTAAATAGTAATTGGGCTAGCAAAAACGGATTTTAACTAAAATTCAAATTTCAGCTCTACTCAAACTCCAATTCTGGTCAAGCCTCCATTAGGTTTCTCGAGCTTGGCTCATTTGCACACCCCTAAATCTGACCATCACCATACAATTACAAGGGTTACCACATGTAAAGGTGTCTTGAACAAGGGTTACTACATGTGAAAAACAGACGGCTTTGGATGCTCCTACTTCTCTCCCTTTCTCATAAATCTATGACTTTATCTATGAAATCTGGTAAAGGAAAAAGAGTAGCAGCTGCCAAGAAAATTCACAAGATCCAATCAATTCTAGGTAAGGCTGTCTATGAGCAGAATGGAAGCTATATGCAACAGAATTTGCTGTTGCTCATACCATTTCCAGTTTGCTGCTGATAAAGCCACAGAATTCCCCTGTTTGATGAAAAAAGCCATCAGTAGATTCAAAGAAACTATCTTCAGAAAACCATGACATAAAAGTAATTGATACAAAAGCTTTTGGGCTCCACATGTTTCAGTATTTTTCTAACTAAAGTGTTAGTCTACAGTTACTTTTCTTCAAAGAAAAGTCTTTAGTTCAATGATCTTCAATTGATCTCTCCGTAAATTCACACAAATATTTTCTAACTAATTTATAGGTTCAAATATAGTCACTCAGTCAAGAACTCAAGATACTAGATCACCAACAGAAACTCTTTGATTCCCAAAAATTCGTCAAATATTAATTTGATTCTAAAAATTGACACATGCAAAAAATTTAAAAGCCATATTAAATAAAAAAAATATATGAATTTGAAGTAACATTGAGATCTTATGCACACAGTTAGCTAGTTAGGTCACAGAACATACTTGGATGCCTGCTCATAGCTAAAGAACTTGACTGCTGAATTTGGAACTATACGAGCACAGTTAGTTCCATTGCCTTTGAACAGCCCACGGAATCCTTCAGTCTGCCAGATATATTTTAAACCCTGAACTGTTCCGTTGTATTTGATGCTGTGAGGATTTTGAACCTGAGAAAAACAAAGCCAGCAAACCATCATAAAGGAAATAACTTGAGCTTTAAATACTTAAAACAAGATATTGGCAATAACACTGTTAAATTTAAAAACTGGCTGTCTAGCTCTGATGGGATATTCATCAAGACAAATGCTACCAACAAAACTAAATACAGTACCACACCTGAAAAAATCACATGCTGACTTAAGTGTTCAATACAGAAAAACTATCAGTCTTCATAATGTTTAAACTTCTAATTGATATGTATTAGGTCTTCCATTGATAAGCATCATATACAAGAAAAAAGAATTGTTCACTTCTGATCTAAAAACTGATATAACAGCTTTCTACATGGAGAAAAACCATTCTGTCGTTACCCAAGTTCCAATTATATACTTTGGAAAGGCAGGGATTTATATGGAATAAAAGAAAGACGTAACCAAGCAAGAAAGTTCCTTTATATCTTTTTCATGGCTTCTGCAGGCTTGCAAATTGCAATTAACATTTCCTGCTTTTCATAAGATGATTCTTTGGCATAAATATAATAACTCAATAAGTTTCCATCCATCATCTACTGATTAATACACTGCAGCTAAATAACAAGCTAAAGAGGACCTGATAAGAGCAGAGAATGAATACATACCAGGGGGAAAAAATTAAATATACAGAGAGTCAGAGAGGTCAGAAGTTCATACAGTACAATGAAGGTGATAGTGCGGTGTAAAGAGTGCATACGTATCTCAATTGTATTAACATAAAATTGATCAGAAAAGTTAATAGCCGATGCTATATTTTGTGTGTTCTAAGCAGATGATATCACTTCTCTACCTCCTACTATTTTATAATAGCCGTAGCAAAACAAGATTATATATACAAAAGGCTTATGGATCAAGTGGCAGCAGTGTCATTTGTAAACTCACCTGCAGCAAAATTTTCAAACGTTCTAGAGGAGCAACTGCTGTTCGTGATCTGCAATCAAATCGCCAAAAGTTAGCTAATGATTGATACGGAATTTAAACATTTTAAAGACATTCACCGATTTCCATTTCACAGTCAATTCATTCATTCATTGAAAATACTTCGATTGTCTAGTAGGTACAAATACTCAAACTGCATCACTTTCCAAACCAAATTTAACTACGTACCAAAACACCATTATTCTACACAAAACTTCAATCACATATATTCACACGACTCAAAATGTCGAAAACATTGAATTTCACTACAAACAAAAATCACAGCAGTTGATCACTCAATTTTCTCTTAAAATTCATTTTCTCTCAGTCATTTCGTCGAACATTTAGCGTGCAACTTATAACAATCAGTCATTCAATTCAACAACCAAGTTTTGCTAACACTAACAACATATCAATTCTACAAACACATAACACTAATCAATAATCACACACTAATCAGTATTCTCCGTCATTTCATCGAACACTTAACGTGCAACTTATAGCAATCAATCATTCAATTCCACAACCAAATTTCATTAATACAAACTAACTACACATCAATTCTACAAACACATAACACTAAACAGTAATCACACACTAATCAATAATCTCAGTCATTTCGCAAAACATTTAGCGCGCAAATTGTAGCAATCAATCATTCAATTCCACAACCAAATTCCAATAACACGAACAAGATAATTCATCAATTCCACAAACACACAACACCAAACAGTAATCACACACTTAAAAAAACACCTGAAAACATCAAAAATTCCGATCATCTCCAATTCAAACGCCACCCTAATGAAACAAAAAAAAAAATAGATAACAACATACACTCCGCCAGCGATTCCACCAGCAGCGAGAGATTTGGAAATGCTAAGCAAAGCATGACGAGGAGACTTAACGCCTTCAGTAGCAGCCTTAGCTTCTCCGGCCAAATTGACGAATGTCGAAACAGCAGCAGCTTCGCCTCGTTGCTTCACATCTTCCGACGCCATTTTTTCTCTCTCCTAAACTGCGCAAATCAACGATGATTCCGAAATTGAAACCCTAGGATACGATAATCGGAGGAATTTTTCTCAGGCGGATGAAATGAACATGGAGTTTTCAGGTGGAAGAGAGAAGAAAGAAGAGAGAGAAAGTTTCTGCACCTTTTCTGATTTTCAGAGAGAAGAAAAGTAAAGAAAGCGGAAAATGGAGAAAGGAGGAATATGTAAGAAAGTGGTTTTACGGTTGCCGGGTTCCGGCGCTAGTAAGCCCCGAGGAAGATTTTAAGGCTTGCTAGGGTAAGTGCCGTAACAAAGACTACGGTCTGTACGATGTTTGTTTTTTTTAGGGAAAATAAATAAATAAATAAATGTACATCATTATTTTGTTGGATAATAAATTACGGAGTAATAATCAATTACAGTAGATAATCCTGGTATTATGCTCGGATTTTTAAATTATTGATAATTGAATTATAGAAATTACTCGAGAAATATGAAGTGTAATACAATAGTCATTTTTTTTTAAACAGTAATACAATAGGCAATTAATCCGTATAGTATTTGTCTTTAATAAAAATTATAATAATAAATAAATATAATGTATTTTTTTAGGCAAATTAATGCTTCTTCAAAAGATTTATCTCTTATTTCATGATGTATATTTTTATATGGTGTTTTTATTAAAGAAACAACTTGTACATTGTACTAAACTCAAATAAGTGAACTTGAATCAATCTAATTATAAGAACGTCAATAAGTCTTGTGTAAGGTGGGTGTAAGTTAATTTTATATTATTGTTGGTGTGTCTTTTAGTATATATATACTATATTAGTCTCGTGTGATGCACGATTTGAACAAACAAAATTTTCTAAATTTGTTTATTTTTTCATATCAAAATTAAAAACAAAAAAAAATCCCGAAACAAATAATGCATCAAATTTACAAAATTAAAAATTAAAAAATTAAAATAAAATTAGAAAAATCGAATGATGAAAGGGTAGCTGAGAAATAAAAATTAAATTATTATTGTTAGAGAGAATAGACTGTTTTTCATAAATTAATACTAATAATATTATAGTTCACCAAAATTTTAATAAAATAAAATAAAAATCATAAAATGATGACATTATTTATAGTTTTAGAGGAATTTCTTTTTTAATAACAACGTAACATGTGTCTAATTTTATGATAAAATGATGTCAGCGGTTGCTATTTTAGTATTAGTTATAGATATATTATTGATTATTGATGATTATCCGAAATTAATGTAATATATACTTATATAATTATATCTATGTATTATGCCAAGGGAGCATTGGGGGAGCGTTTACCAAAATGTTACTCGGTATGTAATTATTTAAAGAGAAAGATATATAGGGGGCGTTTGGTATAGATATTAGAAATGAAGTGGAAATGAAACAAATAAGAGGGAGGAAAGAAATTTTTAACACTTACCTTTCCATTTGTTTGGTTTAATCATGGAAAGGAATCACTTAACCATAGCCCCTTTTCTTTTTGTTTGAGGAAGGAAAGGTTAAGAGCATTTTGGTTAGAGTATTTAATTTTTTGGGGTGGGAATGGATTCAATTCAACCATTACCATTATTAAGTATTTGGTTAGAAGCTTTAGGTAACAATTAACATTACCTAGGGGTAATGGTTTCCACTATTTGTTACCTTTATATATATATATATATATATATATATATATATATATATATATATATATATATATATATATATATATATATATATATATATTCCGTGCCTGCGGGCCGGCACGCGGGCCAAACGTCATGCCGTACCCGTGCTGTTTTCCAAAAAAATTGTCCACGGCCCACAGCTGGGCCACCGTGCCGGTACGGCCCATGCCCATCTTTAAAGGGGGGTAACACGAACTCCTAGACAAAAGATCTTTAGCATCATTATTAAAAAATAAGGGCATGTACTTAGTACTAATCCAACCCAAATAAAAAACAAAAAATAAATAAATTAAACCTCAATAAAACTGAACCACCCAGAACCACCACCGACGCCACCCAGAACTACCACCCACGCCACCCAAAACCACCCACCTTTCTAACCCAAAACCACCACCTTTCGAACCCAAAACCGCCACCCAGAACCCATAACCACCACCTTTCTAACCCAGTTTCCAGAACCACCACCTTTCGAACCCAAAACCACCCATAACCACCACCTTTCGAAGCCGAAACCACCTAACCCACAAACCCACCTAAACCTGCGAACTCAGACTTAAGAAACCGAGACCCTCGCACCAAAACCCAAACCAGACGCACTAACCCACCACCTACAAACCCTAATCCGAAACCCACGAAACCAAGACCATTTCTCCAGATCTAAAACTGAGTATCTTTCTTCTTCAATTCATGAAAAGTGGTTGAAAGAGGAGAGAGAAAGTTAATGTTGAAGAGGATGAAGATGGAGAAAATAGATTATGAGGGAAGAGGAAGAAGATGATGAAGGAGGAGAGAGAAAGATAATGGGGAAGATGAAGAGATGATGAAGGATTGATGATTATTGAAAGATATAAAATAAGTTTAATTAGTTTAGATTAGTTTTTAATCAATTATGTTTTAAGTATGTAATTGATGTTATAAAGTTTTAAGTAAGGGTGTTTTTGTAATTTCATTTAAAAAAATTACTAAAAATGGAAAGATTTGTGAATGTTGCAAATAATAGTTAGCACCCTTTTTTGGTAAATGTTGCAAATAATAGTTAACGGAGGTAGTATATAAAGCTAAACTTTTAGCCAGGTCACGAGATAGCGACATTTTGACGTTTCAACTTTTTGCCAAGTGTCACGCCATGTAGGCAGTGGCGGATACAAGCCATTTTGAATAGGGTCAAGTGACCCACTTGAGCATGAAAAAAAGAATTTTTGCTTATAAAATTAATTTTGTTACTATAAAAATTACCTGTATTTTTATCAAATGACCCCATTAAAATATACCAAATGTATTTTGACCCCGTTAAATATTTTTTCTAGATTTGTCACTGCACGTGGGCACAATTAAATATTAGTATGACACGTAGGATTTATTTGGATATATTTTTTATGAATAAAAAAGTTGTATTTTTTTAATAAGATAAAACTAGATAGATTTTGTAGGTAAAAAAAAGTTAGTTTAGAGTTATATTTTCAATAAATTTTTAATAGATTTATAGGATAAAATTATTGGTTTAGAGTTTTATATCCGATAAAATACTTATATTTCATAGGTACAAAATAAATTATAAGTTTAGTCAGATCACGAGATGGTGACACTTGGCGTTTCAACTTTTCACCAAATGTCGCGCCACATATACAACAATTAAATAATTTATCATATAAATTAATTTTATATCATAACTTTTTTTGGAGTGAAGGAAGTAATTCAAAACATACAACATTCATTTATAATATATCCTAATCGATTGAAATAAACTACTTCACAATCCAAAATGATTTTATTACTTTATGTAGAACTGTCAATTGGGTCGGGTCACGAGTCATTTCGGGTCGAGTCACTCCAGGTCACGGGTCAAGTCACTCCAGGTCACGGGTCAAGAAATGTTCATACTAGCCCAAAGTTTCGAGTTCGGGTCAACCCAACGGGCTTATAATAATTTTTTTGTTTACCATAGATAAAAAGTTTATCTTAAAATTTAATAAACAATCCGGGCATAGCACGGGGCACCAAACTAGTAAATAATAATAGTGCACTACAACACTTCTTTTATGGAGGCCAGAATTGAATAATGGTTTAGTAGGTTTACAATAGGGGTGAGCAAACCAGGTACCCGGTCAAAATTTTAGGATCCGGACCCGGGATTGGTTGAGACCGGGTCCTAAAATTTGGAACCGGAATTGGAATCGGTACAACTGGGTCCTAAAATTTAGGAATTGGAATTGGTTCCACCGGGTAACGGTTCCGATTCCGGGTACCCACTTATATATATAAGTGTTGAAATATAATACAAATCATAATTTTTTTTTGGTTTATTTTTACTTTTAGCGTTTAATAATTATATTTTTATATACATTAAGCTATTTTAATTATATTAAATATTAATATTATATTTTTTTATTTTACTAATTAGTTACATTCAACATATTTTTGTTTTTTTAAATATATTTTGTACAATATATGTTGGGTATCTGGTACAGTAGAGCGAGAGAAAAATCTAGAAGTTTTAGGATTTTGTTTGATAGTGGGTTGAGAGTTTTATAAGCAATTGGGCTTAGAAATTAAAATGGGCTGTACATAACTCTTTAGTTTCTTAAAAATACAAACAATCCACATATTATATCATGTACAATTGGGTACCCATGGGTACCGGGTCCAAAATTTTAGGATTTGGAACCAGAACCGGTTACAACTGGGTCCGAAATTTTGGACCCGGTCCCGGAACCGGTGAGACCAGTTCTGGGTCCGGACCCGACGGGTCCTAACCGTTTCAGGTCCGGTACCGGGTACCCTGAATCTTTGCTCACCCCTAGTTTACATTGTTTAATCTAAGCTTTTAATAATATCTAATATACCTTGCTCATTCGTTTAACAATTTGCAAAATTACAGTTGGTACAATATTTATTTATTTCTTTTTTTTATTATTTTTTTATTTTTTTTACCGTATGCAAGAGTAGCAGGGTAACAAGGTTTGTTTGTTTGTTTTTTTTTTTTAACAATAGTAATAAAAAAGAAAACATTAGGAAATCCTCCTCACGAGGGAAATTCCTAATGCAAGGGCAACAAGTGGTTTGCTTTATACAAAAAGTAAGAATGATTAAGTATTTGTATTTCGTACTTGAACTTTTTAAGCAAGATAGAATGTAAATAACTAAATATTACCGAAAAGAAAAGTGTTGGGAATTTTAGAAAATTAATCATGTAATTTTGTGATTTTGTCGTGCATTCTCAAACTTATACGTAGTTTTATTTAAAAAATTGTATATAATATTTATATGTAATCCTAAAAGACGTATGAAATATACATTGTAAAAAATAAATAAAAATGAAGCTATTTAATTAGAAAATATGTGCCCAAGCAGGCACTAGTAGAAAAAACATCAAACGCTCCGGTCAAAAAGTCATATATGCTCCAATTTTTAACCACATCAATAGTGGATGGAGTAGATTACAGTTTGAAAATGACTCCGGTTCAAAACCGGAGCATAAACTAAGAAAAGGCTTCGGTCAAGATTTGAAACCGGAGCATATAACCTACTTAATGCTTCGGTCATAATAAAAAATCGGAGCATTGTCATTAGTTTATGCTCCACCGGAGCATTTTCATTAGTTTATGCTCCAGTTTTATATCATGACCGGAGCCTTTTGTAT